TGTCTTCATCCTGAATGTTCACTGCGTAGTCTGGACTGGTGTGCCCTAACTAGGACACCACAGCTCCATCCTGACCAATCGCCACACCTGGGCCTTTCCATTCAGTACTGACTACTCGTTTGTAGTACACTTTATCTCCTGTCTCACACTCTTCATCTGTTGATCTGAGTGGTCTTCTTATTCTCTCTGAACATTCCACCTCTGGAAGCATGTCGTGTTTTTAGGTGTTGTCCTACTCTAGAGGTCATGGAAGTGCTCTAGAGCGGGTGGGTTATCTACCAACACAGAGGGTAGATTGGGGTTTTGTCCAAAACAAGCTGGTACGGGCTGTCACCATGTACATTTATCATAGTATTTTTTTGCCATAAGAGCCCAGACTAAAGCAGTTTGCCACGTGCGGCCATCTTCCCTTTTCACCTTCAGAAGGATCTCAGTCGGTGTCATATTAAGGACTGTATCCCACTATGGTCTGTGCTGAACCTTTCCGCCAGGTCTCTGACGTCTTCCTTTTTAAATTCTCCACCGTTGTCTGTGTAGACCCGTTTGGGTGCACCATGGATGCTTCTCCATGAGTGGATGAAAGAGTTGACCGTCTTACAATGTTTCCAGAGTACAGTCTCATTGTGCTCTGAAGCCAACGGCAGGCTTGGTGTATTTTTGACATATTTCATCGTCACAAACGATCTCCTGTAGAACATTCTTTATCTTTGTTTCCAGAGCTTTGGATTAGTCTTTGCAACCGGTCAGCTTCTGTAGGACTGTTTTTCTTTCATCTCTGCTGTGACCATAAGCACTTCACTTTCATTGTAGCTCACCTTTGCATCATCATCTCTAATGTCCACACAGTAGAGTCTGGAAGTAGTCAGCTCAAGAGGATCTTGTTTGAATATGACAACTTGGTCATTTTCCATGACCAGAGGCCTCATTTATAAAGCTAGCTTACACACAAAACGGGGTCGGAAAACTGTGTAAGAAACTTTCCACGCAAACTTTGGGATTTATGAAACTTAGCGGAAAAATGTGCTTAACTTTAAGTTGACTAAGGACCTGGCTTACACACATGCTGGACATGGAGAGCACCTGCAGTGCTGCTGCTGAGAAGGATAACATTATGAAATCCTGCAGCATTATCACTTGTACCCACACACACACACACACACACACACACACACACACACACACACACACACACACACAGAGCCTGAAGCGCAGAATATTAGCAGGGGGACAGATTGAGACAGAACATCATGCGTACAGGGCAGATCTCTGTTTGGGTGACTGGTTAGCGCGTGTGACTTTCACCCGGGAGTCTGGGGATCGAATCCTGATCAGATCATTTTTTACATCCGCCACAGATCTCTCTGAAGAATTCCCAACATTGACGGCTTCAGCAACGCTGTGCCACTCCGTGGATTTTCTCTTATTTGTTTTGCAAAAGCACTTCCTTTCATTTCTCCACCTCACCCACAGGTACCTCAACTTCTGCTTGTGAATTAGTGCTTCCTTGATCTGCCTTGATCTACGGTTGCCATGTCATTGGCGGAGCGCTGCAACAGCCGGCTTATGTATATGCATGAGGTCCACAAGGCAGTTTGCATTGACTATTTATGGCAGTAAGTGGGCGTGGTGAGGGCGGGATGTGACTAAAATGCAGCTGAGAAACCTTTCTAGTTAGTCTCTGATTTATGAAGCGGAGGTTGCGTGCAGCTGTGTGTCCTCCATGTTTGATAGATCACACACCTGCTTGGCGTAAGAACATCTGTTTGCTGAGCTTAAGTACGTTTTAGTAAGGATTCTACACCATGTTTGGTAAATGAGACCCCTGGTCTGTCCTTGCTCTTTTTAGTGCCATCTTGCTCAGAAGCAGGGGAATATCAACTGGAACAACTTACTTTCATTAGGCGTGTCTCCACCTGACCGGGCCGTTTTCAGGAACCTTCTGAGCACCGCTCTGGAGGAGGTACTCCGAACGGCTGGTGGAGCAGCTGATTGGTTGTATCTTAGTAGGAAATGACATCAGCAGACGTCCAAAACAACCAGCAGCAGTAAAATTAGAAGAGTGGCTGGTGACGCAGAACGGAAGCAAAAGAAAATAAGCACAGATCGCATTTAAAATCGAAGTCCCGACACCGGAAAATTTGGTGGAATTCCCCCACAGCTGTTGGAAAAAACAGGGATTTCCCCCTCAGACTTCATAAACAGGGCTTGTCTCACAAAACTCAGAGCTGCTGTTGTCCTTTGATGGATTAAATTATGATCTACTTCTATAAAAAATGTGTTTGATATCATTAATGTTACCTTTTGGGGCTGATCAGTGACATCACTCACTGCCAAAGCAGTCGTGATACGCTGACGTCTGCACATTCTGGAAGGGCTGGATTAGAAAGGAGACAACAGCTGGGAGGACTGGAATGTCCTAGCTCCTGGTCAAGTTCCCCATCCTGGGAACAACCCTGGAATTCTGCTAATGGAAACACGCCTAACGTGACGTTTAGTTTGGCCTATGTTAGGTGGAGTCTTAACTTTACTGTTGGAGAACACCACTTGGCCATCTCCAGATCTGAAGGACCTGCAGCTTGGAGATTGTGTGTTTAGTAGCTTGTGAGTCTGTTCCATATCTCTCCGGCCACTTTTCACCACTAACGGTTCTTGTGCATGGAGTATCAATAATGGCTGATTCCCGTGCCTCGGTTACAACCACCTCGTAGTCTGCTACAGCCTCTTTAGTGACACGGTAATGTTGCATTCTTCATCTGTCTGTCATTTTTAAAGTCAAAGTCATTCATTGTCATATTCTCCACATGTGCAGGACATACAGAGAAATGAAATTCAGTTTCAGCACACACAATTCAAAGATCAGACATACGTGGGTAAGACACATAACAAGAATTGGTGACTGTGGTCATTCGCAACATGAGTCGCGCTACCTTAATAGTTAGATGAAAAGGGTGTTACATGAGGGAAGTTCAGGGAGGGAGAAAAAAGGCATTAACAGGGTTACACCAGCAGGGTGTAGCACTCCAATGCAAAAAAAAAACACCCGACATGTAAGCAACAAATGTCACAGTTCACAACATGAGACCCGGTAGGTAGGGGGGAGGGGCTGGGATCCTGGTTCCTGAGCGGGGGCTGCCTGTGTGGCGCTCAACCAGCTGGCTCGACAGGTGGGAGGGAGGTCATGGGGAAGCACAAAGAGCAGTGAATCCTTTAGCTTGATGACCTCGGTGGGGACCTCAATCTGAAGGCGGGGCGGGGGGGGGGGGGGGGGGGGGGGGAATAGAGATTCACAGCATTTGTCTGCATTCCTTCCAGCGTGGGGGTTTTGCATGCAACTCCAAGGCTGCTTATGGCGTCAGATTCGATAACAGAAACTTTGTTTGGGTCAGACAGAGATAATTTTTCCTCTCTGCCTTAAGTCTGTATTGATCATTCAAGTCCTCCAGTGAAGCCAATTAGGTGATTAAACATCTCCACACCGTCCGGTGACCCTTTCCGAGATGTTATCAATCCTGCGCGCTAACACCGGTAACGCAGCTAAGACATTGTCCAGCTTGCGATTCACCTCGATTCACCTTTACATCATTTCCCCAAGTGGACCGTCTTTAGCCCGGTGGTACGTACTTAAAACGAGATGAGAAACTCTCTGAATATACATTTACATTGAGTTAACACATAAAACACAATGCCCTGTTTTTATCCCACTGGGAAATATGTCAACAGACAAAATTTCAATTTTGGGGGAATAATCTCTTTACCTTCATACTGTGTTGCATTCTGGGTGACTGAACGCTCAAGTTTCAGTGTGAGAAGATCTAGCTTTGAGACCTAGAGCTTAAGGATTGTGAAGTGTTCATTAAATCTGTAGGTAGAGCATTACTGCCGGCTCTAGGGCATTAGCACGCGATACGTTTACATGCAGGAGGATTAGTAGCAGCATAATACCAACAACAATCAGACTCAGATTTTATTTACAGTACAATAGACTATTGGGGACAGCGCAGGTGTGTTTCACTATACTGTAGGCTTGTGTGAAGAGCTGCCAGCACACCCTCACCTCCCGGAACGGACCTCCTGCTTTAAGATTGTATTGTTGAGTGGCCCTCGGACCATTACATTTGCGTAACCCTGATCTATTTCCTTAGCCCTCAGCAGCAATGACTTCATGGGATTTTTTACAAGTAAAATTAATTCTATTAGAAACAAAATCTTTAGCATCCTCCCTAATGCGATTTCTTCTTCCTCAGTAAGTGAGGCAGCATCAGAGGTGACTGTAGAACCTCATCTGTGCTTGAACCGTTTTGATCCAGTTGAGCTTTCAGAGTTATCAAAAATATTAGCTTCATCTAAACCTTCAACTTGCATTTTGGATCCAATCCCAACCAAATTATTTAAAGATGCATTTCCTTTGGTTACTGCCCCCATTCTAGATACAATCAATCTATCCTTAGTAAATGGATACTATCAGGCTCCTCTCCTGTGGAACCAGCTCCCAGCTTTAGTCCGTGAGGCAGACACCTTGTCTACTTTTAAGACTAGGCTTAAAACATTTTTATTTGATAGGGCCTATGGTTAAAATCTGATGTTAGCCTAAATCTGGACAAGTGGGGGAGTAGAGGGAGGTGGAGTGTACAGTCGGTAAAGACGGCTCTCCCTTGCCCTGCCTCCAACATGCCTCCATCTAAATAGGATAGATTATCCAGAGTTATCTCTGTAGTTATGCTGCTATAGGCTTAGACTGCTGGAGGACACACTGACCACTTTCCACACTCTACTGCTTTCTTCTACAATCTGCTCTTTAACTGTATTATTTCCTGCTATTTCAGCTGTTAACTTTATTTAGAAGTCCGAGGTGTTGAAGGTGAATAGAAAGAATGAGAACACCGTACCCTGTGGAGCTCCAGCCCAACAACCACCTCAGACGTACAGTTGTGCAGCCTCATGAACTGTTGGTTTTCAGACAGTAAAGAAACTGCAGCTCATGTTTGCTGATGTTTTTGCAGGATAAAGGAGACGGATGCTGCTAAGCTGAGGGAGGAGTACAGGCGGCTGGTGGAGGGGCTGAAGGAGGCCAACGTTGCCCGGGAAACAGACGTTTACCTGGCAAACCCAGTGTTACCTGATGAAATCCTGAAAGGTTTGTCCACATGTGAACAGCTGTTTTCACCTCAGGTTTACACAGAAAGTATCAATCTGGTAACTTTTCTTCATCGTATGGGATCAGACGGTGGCACAGCGGTTAAGCGCTCGCCCCACAATCAGAAGGTTGCAGGTTGGAGCCCCACTCAGTCTATCGCTGTCTTAGTGTCCTTGGGCAAGACACCTGACCCCCCCTTGCCTGCTGGTGGTGGTCGGAGGGACTGGTGGCGCCAGGGCTCGGCAGTCTGTCCGTGCTTCCCAGGGCAGCTGTGGCTACAGTGTAGCTCATCCCCACCAGGGTGTGAATGAGTGTTGTAAAGCGCCTTGGAGGGTTCCAGGACCGTAGAAGACGATATCAAATACAGGCCTTTTACCGTCCTGGACCAGATCTGCTGGTTGATTATAAACGTTTGGCGTTCCAGACTCGTGTTCTCTGCCCTGATCTAAATCCTGGTTCTGGATCGCAGATCCTTAAAAGCTTTTGTCTTTGGTCCTCGTCAGAGGCGGTTCCTGGTTCCATCCGGACCGCCGAGCATTTTGTTGGGTTTTTGCGACGTTTTCTGGAGTATTTAAAGTCCCGCCTGCGAGTGCAACACGTGGTGCAGGAGAGCGCCCCGCAGTTCCTCAAAGACATCTTTGACAAAGTCTGCATCGACCGCAAGCCCCTCAGGTCAGATTCAGACTCTTCTCACATTCAAGCTGCTTATCCAGCCGCTCCAGAGACCAGCAGCAACAACGAAAAACTGAGATGTTCTCCTTCCACCCTTCCTGCTGCTCTCTAGGTTTTGTGCAGAGAGGCTGCAGTCGCTACTGCGAACTCTGGAGATCACGGACATCTCGGACTTCTCAGCCGTTACGCTCATCTCTAACTTTGCGACTCTTGTCAGCACCTACAGCCAAGGTACCAGAGCCACCTGTGAGTCCTGCCACCTGCTGCTTTTTCTAAGCTGGTGTTTGTTTGTGTGAAGGTTTTACCATCATCATCGAGCCTTTTGAGGACAGAACTCCCACCATCGCTAACCCGGTGCTGCACTTCAGGTCAGAAACGCCCGGCGCTCTGGTGCTTTTGGATTCTCACGGTTGGACTTGAGTGGCTGACCTGTTTTCTGCTCTCCTGCAGTTGCATGGACCCTTCCATCGCCATCAAACCTGTTTTTCAAAGGTTTCAGTCCGTCATCATCACATCGGGGGTACGTTTGCCGCTTCCTGTCCCGTTTGAGATCTCAGCTAAACTCCGTAAACCACATAGTTGCCATGGTAACCAGGGGTTACTCCTAACGTTTTAATCTACACTATGCCTTTTGTGGGAAAAGAAAATATTCACTTTCTGGTGGAATTTCCCTAAATTCGTTTATCAACATGAGTTAGGGTCTGTGGATGTTAGACAGGAAACGTCTAATCTTGTCCTTCCCGTTCTCTCACCAGACCCTCTCACCGGTGGACATCTATCCCAGAATCCTGGACTTTCGTCCAGTTACCATGGCGTCCTTCACCATGACGCTGGCCCGGACCTGCCTCTGTCCTCTGGTGTGGAGCTGATCCTGCTGAAACACTCGATGGATGCTTGAACTCCGACCAGCTGACTGTTTCCTGTGTGCAGATCGTTGGGAGAGGGAATGACCAGGTGGCTCTGAGCTCAAAGTTTGAGACCAGAGAAGACTTTGGTGAGCGGCACCTTCCTCACACGAACACATCCAAACACGAAGTTTTAAAAGATGCGTGTTGACATCTCCTCAGCTGTAATCCGTAACTACGGTAACCTCCTCCTGGAGATGTCTGCAGTGGTCCCTGATGGGATCGTTGCGTTTTTTACCAGCTACGTCTACATGGAGAACATCGTGGCGTCCTGGTACGAACAGGTGGGTGTGAGGTCAGATGTGTGAACAAACGAGAGCCGTGGTGTCTGAGATGGTTTGACGGTTAGTTTTGTTTGTAGGGAATCCTGGAGAACATCCAGAGGAACAAACTGATCTTCATTGAGACGCAGGACGCTGCAGAGACGAGCATGGCTCTGGAGAAATACCAAGAGGTCAGACAAACTGGCCTAACTCACCTGTTCTGACAAGCTCAGGCCCCGCCCACTGACTTTGTTTTCTTCAGGCATGTGAAAACGGCAGAGGAGCCATCCTTCTGTCCGTGGCCAGGGGGAAGGTGTCGGAGGGCATCGATTTTGGTAAACAAACACAATTTGTGTTTTTGACAACTTCCACCTCTGACTCCCGCTCCATTTCCTGTTCCAGTCCACCATTTTGGGCGTGCAGTGATCATGTTTGGAGTCCCGTATGTTTACACGCAGAGCCGCATCCTAAAGGTCAGAACCGCCCACGGCCCAACCCAAACCCTAAAGCTCATTCTGACCCGGAA